GATTGACATACGTAATAATGGTTGTGATCTCTGTCCCACCCCGTGTAACAAGTGTAATACTGGCCCTTCATCTCCCAGAATTTTTTGCCCCTAGCATCGAGTTTTTCAAGGTCCCCGGATCGCGCATAATCGAATGGATGTACTGGAAGATTAGATATTTGAATCTCTCCCTCTGGAAGAGAGCGAATCTTTCTGTCCCAATTCATTCTCTGCAACTCTCTCCCATTGTACCGCCATGACCAACCAAAAAAACGAATCGTCTCTCGTTTCAACAAAGCATAATCATCTAAAACGTAGGCTTTGAGGGCATCCGTGCTTTCACGACTAATCACTGTCTGGTTAGGTTTGAAGAGTTTGCTGATATGCTTAACTGTGACGAGGCCTTTGCTGAACAGGTCCTGAGCCTCCATATACTCCTCGCCGTAATTTTCTCCAAGGAATTCAAGTAACGGTTTGACCGCCTCCTTGGATGATATTCCATCAGGCAGTGCTGATAGTTTGTCGCGATGGTGAAATAAAAAGAGATAAGGAGCGTCCATTTCCTTTGCACCATATTCATCATCATCATCATTCTCATCAGAACCAACATATATTTGGAATTCTGCCACTTGCTCCAGAACACTTTGCAGAATGGGGGAAACAATCCGCATTCGCTCGGCTCTGGACGAGAGTAAACGAGAGCTGGCAATCTTTGTGCCCTTTTTGAGCCGAGACGACCCCTGTTTACTCGTTGCACAGTAATACTCTTTGAAAATAATAAAGGAGATATGCGGATTGCGGAGGAGGTATGTAGAGAGTTTGTCAATTTTCATTTGGCCGAAAAGTCCCCCGGAACCATCGAATGCTGCGCTATCGAAGGCCGGAACATCCTCGTATAGGCTCTCGTTATAGCTATTATGATCGTTGCCGGGGTAGTAAACGCGGTGTAAAACCTGGCCACGCGGAATGATCGGACCGATGAGCTCGCCGACATCCTCCTGACTTTTCTCGGCCTCACTATCGCATTCACTCTCGGTAATGCTGTCATCATCTGCTGCCTGATAATACCGCACTTGACCTTCGAGTAGATGGATTGTATCGAGGAGGTAGGATATGAACCTTGTAGTTTCTTGTGTCTGATCTAGCGTGTCCATTTTGAGGTAGTTCTCAGCCACTGCATTCAGAGTCTCTGCGAGCCCCAAACTAGATATCTCGTTGTCTGCATTGGTGCCGTTCGATAGTGATTGAACATCACCGGGTGCCCGGACAATATCATCCAGCGTGGGGCCAAGGCGTCTATTTGTCGAGACGAAATTCCCGTTAGAGATCAAAATTTCGGGGTCCGTAGTAGCATTACTCGAGGATTCTGTTAGTGGTAATTCAACGTTACCACCGACCTTCTCAGCGGACTCTGCCGTTTCGGCTGTGGTAGTACGGGCATCAAACGGACTAGACGAATGGTGAACAGTGGTTAAACCGCGCTTCTTTTCGTCATGATCGGAGGATACGCCACGGCCTGTACTCCTGATTAGTAGTTTCCATACAGTTTAGGCCTTATCTAAAGCCCGGCTACTAAATTAAGACTCCTACCATTTTTTCCCGACTTGTGACGCCACTGCGCGTCTTTCGTGACCTTCCGAGAAGGATACGTGGCTGTCAGGCCGCGTGCTTGATTCCTGTACCCAGGAGGAAGATGTTTCGGCGGAGGCGGACGAAATGGCATAGAGCTCCATGGCATTGGTCGTTGTCTTGGATCATAACCAGGAGGATACGGATAAGGTCCCCTATATTGTCCCGCATGACTAGAATGACCCATAGTACGGGATCCTTCCATGGGCCGCGACTGTCCCATGGCGCGAACTTGTGATCCAGGTCGCACACCAGAACCAGCCGCCATCCACCCAGGAGGAACGGGAGGGGTTGTCACAGGCATCGCAGGCCCAGGCATATTGGTTGACCTTCGTTGACCTAAATACAACAATCAAAGAATTGTCAATTATATGATAATCGTTGAATGTCAAGAAGGGTTTACCTCTGCCGCTTAATTGGGCATTCAACTGTGACAGTAGATTTTGTTGCTTCAGCTTATCACTAGATGTGCCGTCTCGTGAGATAGTAGAGTTGACCAACAGTCCACTTTCGTTTCCAAGCCCCCCAGATGGTGCGTAGGCCTCCTCAAAGTCATCGTCACCACTATTACTACTACTTTCATCGTCGCGCAAGTCTGCCATCTTATTTCTTGGGTGTTGTCGGTACTGTCAGCGAATAAGCCGCGATATTGGTGGCAAACATGTGGGGGGCCCGCTGGTTTTATAGACTGTTTGAGGATCCTATAGCCTCGTGAGGCAGCCTAAGAAAATCAGGCAGATATGCATGCAGCCGCACCCGAACACTCGCCTTGGTTGCATCATAAATGCATTGAAGGCTCGTACACAGCCACACAGGAAAATCTGCAGACCCTATCATATAATGGGCATAGCCTCTTGGTGGCGCAGTCCATTTTACAATACCACAAGCATTGACGCCTATCCATAGGTTCCACCCAAGCGCCTTCGTGACGCCTCGCCGCGGGAATCAATCTTTGACTTCGTGAATTTCTGTTCATACCGTCGTTTCTCTTCCTATTTGTACTTAAAATCTCATTCTGTTTCTCTAGAGGAATTTCTGATCATTCTCCCCCATGTCGTTGACAACTCCCCAAGGCCTGAAGTCCCCCGCCCCCTCCGACCTGTCAAATCCCCAACTGCTTGAATTACAGAAGGTTCAGAGACGACAACTAATCTCATCCTGGTATCTAGGTGCTCCACAGCCAGTGTTTGTCTATCATACCGTTCTTTTTGATACTGTCTCTAGTGAATATCTGGTCGACTAATATTAACCTTTACAGATGGACGGATCCCGCTAAGGATGCTTATCAAGCTGCAGTTGTAATTCTTCAGAAAGAGCTTACTGTGGATGAATATCAGTCGATATGGCTACGAAGCCACAGTTCGATGGAAGATGTCCAGCAAGCAGTCAAAGGTGCACTCGAGGAGTACCAGACAAGATCGAAAGCATCTAAGGTTCGTGAGTGGCTGGCGAATTGTTCGTCCCGGGTTATGTATTATGGAGGTGGGTACCAATGAAGATTTTGTATATCTCAACATTCACGTTACATGAACTGATGCTCAAAACAAGCTATATTCGATATGTTTGCTCAACATCACCCGGAGTACGTCTCGCTGGCATGGGGCGCCATGAAATTCTTGTTCATCGTAAGTAGTGAGTTTAGGAATGCGGCGGGACTAACACTGACAGACTTTAACCTAAGGCCGTCCTAAACCATGAAGAACTCCTGATGGAAGTTTCTAAAGGAATAGCAAAGATTGCAGACGTGTTACCAAGGACCGAGTTGCACTCAATCTTATATCCCACTCCTCGCATGCAAGAAGCGGTGTCGCTTGTATATGCTAAAATAATACAATTTATCATCAAATCTATTGAATGGTATAAGAAAGGGAAGTTGATGCATTCCATTTCGGCAATTATTAAACCATTTAATTTGAGTTTCAAGCCGATAATCGAAGAGATGGCTGAGCTATCAAGGCGTGTTGATGAACTCGCCAATGCTGCATCGAAAGCAGAGATAAGGGACCTCCACATTACAATTCATGGACTTAACCAAACGATTGTTCAGTTGACAGAGATGGTAGCAGGTAAGTGAACGAAGAGACTACTTTGACGAGCCTAAACTAACTCGGGCAGTTCAACAACAGCAACAAGCCCTACATAATCAGTCGCTACTGGCACTACAAGGGGAGTACAAACAGATGTTTCGGCAGGGACAGATCGAAGATATTCGAAACATCATGCTACTCGAAGACACGCCATCATCAGATGCGAGCCTATCTTACTGCCGGTCAATGCGTGACCGACGTCGCCAAAAATTGCCCACACAATTACCGGCTCCAGCGCTTTCAAAACTTAAGTCATGGATGTCGGAAAAATCATCATCTCTACTGCTTGCTGAAGGCAATGGAGTCCGAACTAGTTGTCTTGACTTCGCTGTCGACTTTCTGGATACCGTTTTCGAGCGCGGCCACCCAATACTCTGGGCACTTCCATCTATGCTAGAGGAGCGCGATACGCAACCATCACTCACAGGTATTCTACGGTCCCTGATTTCACAGGCCCTCAGCCTCAGCTCTGCCGCTACAGATGATGGAGTAAATCCAATCACTGCTAAGCACATCAAAAGTGCTAGAAGTTTGGACCAGTGGTTAGCACTATTTGAGCGTTGCACTCTGATGTTTCCCCACCTCTTTGTTGTTATAGACATTGGGGTGGTGGGCGCAGCTGTGGAGCATGAGGAGATGGAAACTTCGTCATTCACAGTTGCGGACTTCATCGAGCGGATGGCAGAGCTAGTAAATCGCAGAGGCGATGAGAATATTCTGAAGATTATTGTTGCTTCCTGGAGATTCAGTACTGTTACTTCTCTCGAGGCCACTGAGGTCTTTGAGGACCTACACATATCTACAGACATGGGCCGAAAAGTAGAAAGGTTGATGCGGCAGCCGAAACACCGCGCCATGTTTCGGCAGAGAAATCGCAAGTTTGCAGAGAGATTCAAGACTATACTATAACAATCTTCGAGATATTATACACCGGTCTCACGATATAACTCTCTTTTTAGACCACAGACTCTGGTCTCCTCCGTATAAGCCCAGAACTAACTATTGAGACTTTGATTCGTGGGAGCTTGCCAAGATAGGGGCTAGATAGGTCTCGGAAAGGACGCTTAAGGATTATGAGATGCTAAAAGCTTGCTTACCTCGTGGAACGTAATATAAGCTTAGCCCATCTCGGTTAAAATGCTTCGTTGCTTAGTCTAAGCCCAGAGTCAGCTCACCTTTGAAGACAGGATGAGTGTTGGTACACTTGAGTTTTTGTCTCCAAAGCACTACAGAATTAGTGGTTACTCTAGACACTACAGTAATATTGTGGGTCGTTCGTGGTGTTCAACATCCCCACAAACCAAGATGAAGATCTCCGGTTATCGGCCAATTCCGCCCAAGTACTGGGGAAGCAGGCTTGTTAGTATGACCTCATTGGGCGTAGTTTGCGCCCCCGTCGTAGTCGATTTTTCGTGTGCGTCAATTGACTAGTCTAAGCCTGAAATGGCTCGCTTTGAGACTTCTCTATAGACTTCACAACGGGATCCTTTTCGAGGAAAGATGCCTGTGATTGACACCAACAAAGACTTGGTTGCGCTGTTTCGCGATCAGGTCCGAGCGACCCCTAATGCCGTTGCTCTGGAGGATGAGACCGGCACGTGGACATATGCCGAATTGGACCAGGTGACTGCCGCCCTTGCTGACCGCCTTCGTCGACATGGTGTCGGGCGCGACAACCTCGTTGGCGTGCTCCTGGGCCGCAGTGCAGACTACGTAATTGCCTGTATAGCCGCGCTCCGTGCAGGCGGAGCCTTTCTCGTTCTTGAGCTCGCCTACCCTCCTGGCCTGCTCGCAGATGTCATTGACGATGCTAAGCCGACTGTTATCGTCACACACTCTGCTCACGTCGAGCGCATCAAGGCTAATGTCCCGCTCATTGTGCTTGACAAGCCCGAGACAGCATCCAAAGGGTCGATCAATGGTACCGAGAAAGGATCATCACCTTTACCTGCAGATGACGATCTCGAACGGCTTGCATTTGTATCCTATTCATCAGGCACTACTGGTCGACCGAAGGGCATAGCGAATCCACACAGAGCCCCTGTTCGGTCTTACAACTTGAGATTCGGTCTCAGTGATCTTCAACCCGGCGATCGAGTTGCCTGCAATGTCTTCTTTGTCTGGGAGATTCTGCGGCCTCTGCTCCGTGGAGCTACGGTGGTCGCTGTCCCAGATGAAGCAAGCTACGATCCTGTCGCGCTTGTTGATTTGCTTGCAGCACGCCATATCACAGAGACACTCATGACACCAACACTCTTGGCTACGGTGTTAGCCCGGCATGCAAGCCTGGCAACACGTCTTCCGAATCTTCGTACTCTATGGCTTAATGGCGAAGTTGTGACGACAGACTTAGCACGTCGGGCTTTGGCTGCTTTACCACAGACTCGCCTACTCAACTGCTACAGTGCCAGCGAAACCCATGAGATTGCATGTGGCGATATAAAGACAATGCTCAATGACAGTACAGCTGTGTGCGCTGTAGGGCCGCCCATGGACCCTGATCACATCTACATCCTTGACGAGGACGGTAAGAAGCTCGACGTTGGCGTCAGTGGAGAGTTGCTTGTAGGCGGTGATCTCCTGGCCCGGGGGTATCTCAATCTTCCTGAGACAACTGCGAAGGCTTTCCTGCCAGACCCTTTCAATAAGAAACCGGGATCACGCATGTACAAGACAGGAGACCTAGCTAGACTCTTACCGTCTGGGCTTCTCGAGATCACTGGCCGCGTTGGAGGTATGATCAAAGTACGTGGATATAGCGTTCAACCCGGGGCTGTTGAAAGTGCTATCGTGAAACATCTAGCCGTTCGGCATTGCGCCGTTGTTGCACATGGTGATGGCCTCGAAAGGCAACTTGTCGCCTATATCGTTCCTGACAAAGACGACTCAGGACCTCGAAAAGTTCCTATAATCGATGAATCGGGTTACAGCCCAGTGGCACGACGAACATTGGCAGAGCATCTTGCACACTATATGATTCCGGCTCTATGGGTGGAGCTTGAACAACTACCAACTCATCAAGTTTCGGGGAAGGTTGATCTAAAGAGCCTTCCTCCACCGGTAACAGACAGGCCTCGAAAATCTGTCGTTGTCAATGGCGCAAAGACGGAGTCCAATGTCGAGGTTAAGATCGAGGTGATTGCTAAGATGTGGGCTGCTTCTCTCAAGCTTTCACCAGATGCTGTGACTCAAGAACATGATTTCTTCGACCTTGGCGGGCACTCACTGGCCCTCGCTGATCTTGCAAGGCGATTGTCGACCGCGTTTGGTTTCCCCATCCCGCTGGGCAGTCTGGCTGTCAACCCAACATTGCAGGGCCACCTGGAAGCTGTCCGGTCAGCTCGTGATGGGCATACAGCAGCAGTACAAGCTGATTTGCCGGCTATTCTCCGCGCAGATGCAGTTCTTCCGGATGATATTCAGGCCTCTGGTGCCGTTATGCGTCCGCTGAGTGAAGCCGGCACCGTCCTCTTAACTGGCGTTACCGGATTCCTGGGCGCCTTCCTGCTGAACTCCATTTTAGAGAGCACGGCCGCTCGCGTGGTGTGCTTGGTGCGATTCAATGATCCCTCAGATGAATCTCGTCCCGCAGGAATGGCAAGGGTGCGTAAACATCTCCTCGATCTAGGGCTCTGGCACGATTCGATTCTTGATCGAATTGAACTACTTCCTGGAAATCTAGCCAGGAGGCGGTTTGGACTTTCTCCTGAGGCGTTTGAAGAACTCTCATCACGTATTGATGTCATTATTCACGCCGGTGCAACTGTGAATCTCGTCTATCCATATGCAGCTCTCAGGGCTGCAAACGTTAGTGGCACAAGAGAGATCCTACGCTTAGCAAGTCGAAGTGGCGCTACACTTCATCACATTTCTACGAATGGTGTCTTACCACCCTCAGTTGATGGCTGGTCTGAAAACACCATGATCGACGTTGAAGATGTGCCGGAGAAACTTCTAGATGGGTACGGACAGACAAAATGGGTTGCGGAACAGCTCGTTCTTGAATCGGCTCGGCGCGGCCTTCCTGTCCGTATTCATCGTCCCGGTACGATTAGCGGTCACAGCACATCAGGATCGACAAACGCTTGGGATCTTCTAAATGCATTGGTTGTCGAATCACTTCATCTTGGATTCGCACCAGATGTCGAAGGCTGGTATGCCGAGATGACGCCGGTCGATTTCGTCAGCAAGGCGATCACAACTCTTGCAAATAATACCAGTCCAGATCAGCGCATCTTCCATCTGGGAGACCCCAGCCCGGTTTCTGCCAGAACATTGTTCGACCAGCTCGCTAAGCTCGGGTATCCGACACAGCAAATGCCCTGGGACGAATGGGTTGCTTTGTGGACCGAGAAAAGGGGTCAAGGCAAGGGCGGGGACGAATACTTTACTGCCGACATCCTTCGGGGTGGCATGCCCACTGCAGAATTCTTGAAAGCAGTAATTGTGTTGAATGATGCTGCAACCAAGCCAATACTAGAATTCTATGGTCTCGAGCGTCCACAGACTGACTGTAAATTGCTTGAAACCTACACACGTCACTTTTATGTTCGAGGATGGCTGCCACGACCTCCAAAGCGCGAATCATCTGACGATGCAGCGGCTGCCTGGAAGAAGGGGTCGTTAGATGGCCGAGTAGCTGTTGTTACAGGGGCTTCATCCGGCATCGGTGCTGCTGTTGCTGTGGCTCTAGCAAGGGAAGGCGCCCATGTCGCTCTTGCGGCTCGCCGAACCGAAGCACTTGAGACCGTCAAGAGCCATTGTCAACATGCTTCTCGAGGCAGCAAAGTTATAATCCGGCAGACAGATGTAACGAGCAGAACACAGGTCGAGCAACTTGTCTCTGTGGCGAGCGAGGAGCTTGGCCCGGTTGACATATTAGTCAGCTGCGCTGGAGTTATGTATTACACGATGATGGCGAATGTGAAGTCAGATGAATGGGACCGCACAGTTGATGTCAACTGTAAGGGTTTGCTCCACTGCCTATCATCAACTGTCCCTGCTATGTTGAGTCGTGGGGCTGGTCATATAGTGGCAATCTCATCCGACGCTGGTCGCAAGGTATTTCCTGGCCTAGGCGTCTATTCAGCCAGCAAATTCTTTGTCGAGGCGACTCTTCAAAGCTTACGGCTTGAAACCGCTGGAAGTGGCTTGCGTGTAACATCTATACAGCCTGGAAATACAGCTACGGAGTTGCTGGGCATGTCAACCGACACGGAAGCTATCAAGAAGTACGGAGAACCATCAGGCGCGAAGGTGTTAGATGCAGAGGATGTGGCCGAAGCTGTCGTATATGCGTTGAGACAGCCGGCGCATGTCGCCGTGAACGAAGTCCTTGTAGAGCCAAGAGACGAGCCGATATAATAGGGGCTTCTATCTTCAATCGGGATACCGACCAGGAAAATGGCAAGGATAGACACATGAACTGAATACAAGCATAATAGTTTCAAACACCTTTTATCCACTCTCTTTCACCTCGTGTTGATTTAGCCATACGCCACGTCACTTCATTTGATCAATGGCATCAAATTGAATGCACTAATATCCTGAACGCCATAACAGAAGTTAACGCTTCTGGGTTTATTATCAGCAAGCCTCGTGAACTTCTTTGCCCAGCTTGCAAGAAGTCACATGGGAGGAAGAGAGCCGTTCTTACGGTATATAGTCCCAAGGGAATAGACGATCCAAATGATGGTAGTTGGAGTAAGTATATCAAGGGCCGAACACTGCCCCTTGATTACAGCGAGAAGGTTGTGAAATGAGTCCCATCAACAAACAAGAATAATTGTTTCGAGAACGGAGGCTAGCTGAAATTATTGATGATTTCGTATGACACGAATGTATTAGGTCAGATGAAGTGAGTTATTGAATTCTTTTTGAACAGCACACGTTTGACTATGTCTACATGCAAAGAATTACGGCTTGTACTATTGAGATTCGAATCATCCACCATGGAACAAGTCCCAAGTCTCAACGCCGTGTGTATGCCAAAATTCATCAGACCATGTCGCGCTATAATAGAGAACAGAAACCTGGTTCCAAGAGTTCTGTCCATCCCTGCTGTCGCCTCTGCCTACGCAGCCAGCCTCAAGACGAGAGACACAATGAATTCATCCGACTCGTGGAAGTGTGATATAATAGTGTTTTCTCTCATGTCAATGTTGTAGTACACTTCGTATGTGACGCATTCATGGTCGCTTACCAGCTCAGATCGCCCAATGGATACAAGATCAGACACGAATTGGTTCACCACACAATATGGTTCATGCTCGGGCGAACTTGCAGACACGAAAAGATTATTTCAAACTTGTTAAGGTATATAAAGACTAATAGTCCATCAAAGGTCTGCTTACATGTCAAAACAGTAGATGTCACATCACGAAGTTTACGGAGAATTCTATATATCTGAAGCAATGTGCAGACTCCACACCACGTCTGTCTACTGCAACTGCACATTTAGAAACATAAAGGGAAGTTGCCCTCACTACACATACCTTCGGCAAACCGTTGAGGAGATTGAAAATGATCCGTAGATGGGTGGTACACTCGATTGGCTTGGCAACCACAAGACTGTACGGCTTGGACGCCAATTCCAGGCTCCACATGGGTTCAGTCTGCGACATATCGCTATCATCATACACATCCAACTGAGGGGTTTGTGCCTTATAGTGAGGAAATCTGAGCAAACACCTTGCAGGCTATAACGGCGGATAACCCTGCAGGACATATTGTTGAAAACGACATTGAGAGACTCTGTCCCTATTGTAAGCCCGGGCATGGTAAGAAGAAGGCAACAGTTGTGGAATGGAGGCCCAAGAAGAAAGATGATCAAAATGATGGCAAGTCGAGTAAGTACAAGAAGGGAAAGACGACGCGCCTGGTCTGGACTGGTAAGACGGTGAAATAATCACTGTCCTGTCACAGCCATCACCATAAGCCAAGACAATCGTTTTTTCAAAGGACGCCATGCTTGCTGCTTGTCTGGTGTTCGTGGGGCAATTAATATCTGTTGTATGACGTCCTGTTCCTGTGTTGTCCGATCGGACAACCCCACGCGGCTGCCTTGTGTGCCCGTCATTAACTTCCGGATACTTAAAGACTCCATACTTCTAGCACAACGGAACCAGATCCAGCTCAATGAGATTTACAGATGCAACATTCGTTGAAATGTCACTTTACCCCCACCCTCGCCGTGTTGTAACCGGACACGATAAAGCTGGAAACTCAATCGTCGTGGCTGATACCAGAATTCCATCGCTCCCCGTTCCTATTGACTGCAACTTTGCAGTCTTATATGAGACACATGAGTTTCCAGCATTGAATGACAATTGGAATGATCCAACTTTGAAGAAGACTGGAAGTTTGGCAAATAATGCTGGAATTATTCTCCGTTGCGTTGATTTTAAGCCTCGTACCAAAACTGTGAGAAAGCTTGATCCATCCCTCGCATCACGAAAGACAAGTGCGGATTCCCGGAGACTAATTTGGCATGGCGATTCTGCAGTTATTCCATCGTACTGAGTCCTTGGACTTTGGGTTAGTATTCGATGGAGAAGTTGTCTGGTAGGTTTCTTCCAATGCTCTCTAGCTCAAATGGTCTGACTTTGTAAGTTACCTAGACAATGGCGTTGAAGTAACGCTTAAGCCTGGTGAGGTCTGCATTCAGCGTGGGACCATTCATGGTTGGGAAAACAGGACAGACAAACCAGCGCGTGTTTTCTTTGTTCTCAGTGGTAAGACTTTGTTTAATTATGTATTAACTCAAACATGCTAACAAACCTCAGCTGCCAAACCTATCAAAGTAGGAGGTCAGGTTCTAGGAACATATGGCTTTGATAAAAAAGACGTCGAATCCGGTGGCAGTGAAGACTGAGCGATAACTGCGTGTCACAAGGTGTTATCTGATGTAGCAATTTTATATTTCCAACTAAGAGTTGAAATAATTGGCATGATTCGTTCCTGCTAGGCCTAGAAATTAACATACTTTTACATTCCCGTTAAATTACGGGCGTATAGTGATCTAGCCCTTGACGTTGGTCGTTTTTATTGTTTCTCCGACTTCAAGCCTTTTGTATAAGCCTACACTTCATCATGCCACAATGAGCCGGAGCCGAATGTGAGTCTACAGTAGTATAACCTATTTTGGGTATCCAAATATGTGACTCTCCTTGTATGGCAATGACGCTGTGTACTCCCTGTTACAAATGTTTCTACAGTTCGAGGTCCCGAATCGTCCGTGCAAGACATTTGTGTGTGGCCTTGCCGCTAATGAGACAGTTTGGTGAAATATCGCACGTATCCGCCGCCCACATGAAAAATTACAAAGCTACAGCCTCGAGCAATCTGACTGGATTAATTAACATAACACCTCGGCACTTAGCATGAGTGAGGAAAAGTATTTTAGAACCAGATCCCCGCTCTCAGTCATCCCGACCTTGTCAACCCTATCCACCTAGCCACGCCACTTCCTCGATCCACAGCCTACGCCCTCTGTAGGAGTCAGTGGCATAAGCCTTAGCGCAACCCGCTAAACAAACATATTCCTCGCCTATCAAGATGGATACGCCGGAATTGTAGTGACCCAAGTTATTACGTATCTCAATGTGTCTTTTCATTGCTAATGTGTTACAATTGCTAGAGAACAACATTTCCAAAAAGTATGGAGGGCAACTACCAAATCATGCATCGAGAGGCAGGAACGACAGGATCGACAGACAACCAGGAGCTGTAGAACATTTGATGAAGTCAAGGAACATGTCATTGAAGACCAGGTTGATCCAGCATCTGAGGCTGCATCGCAGGAGCTGGCCGAACTTCGCGTCGTAGCCATTCGATAGATAATTGGTGAATTTCCTAGGGGCGGTTGCTCCTGTTCTTAATATGGCATGGCCCGTTGTATATTTAGGTGTTCTTGGCTATAAGTCAATACCTACGTGTCTAATCTGTTAGCTACGTCCCCTCTGTGTTAAAAAAGGAGCACGGGCTGTACTCGAGCATCCATCCATCAACCATCCCGTACCCATTGTTGGATTTGGCATTTCCCTACTATTGTGTCGACTGAAAGTCTTTTCTTCTTCTTAATTGTGGGCGCTGACCTTAGAAGGCGAATCGGGAAATTGGTATAGTTAGGGTTGAGATATATATCATTGAACATTTGTTATTATCAATCCCAAAGCGGCCAGGAGCTGTAACAATGATTTATAGAGACACGTCAAATCCCCCCTTTTCTTAATCAGAGAATGAAATGCTCTTTCTATTATTGCATACATGGTGTATGGCACAGTCTTCTAACCGAGAATAAAGAAGTTATCCTCAAATCTGAGGTGTAAGGTATGACATCATGAGATGGCTCTCTAGTGTTCATTGCCTCCATTATGAACAAGCGATTGCTGCTAATGCTGCCTCTGTGATGGCTGGGTCAAACGGCGGACCTTCCAACAATTTCCCAATACGAATACGCTGTTCTTCTTTCTGTGATAACCACAAATCGGTGTGTCTTCCAAACGGAGCCTCCCCCTTTTCAGCCAAATATGGGTCCGCCCAATCCGCTAACTCTGCAACATATTCCTCCTCTTTGCCTCTGAGACTGTTAAATGCTCGACCAAGGCCCTTTTCGTGCACTCTCCTGATATACTCAGCCCTCAGTTTCTCAGACGAGGGTATCCCAACCTGGCCACTGTAAACTAAAGCCAATAGCTTTGCTTGAAAGTCGAAGAGACTAAATGTCGCGGTGTAATAAGGAACGCCGATGAAAGACAATGTTGGATCGGGAATGTAGAATATGTCTTTATGCAAGTTGTGAAACATTGTCCCATCACTGACAATGGTCTTGTCGTCTATTTCTTCTGGTTTAACATCGTCTTGGTGCAAATATGATAGGAACGGAAGGGTAATATGATAGCCTGTAGCAATAATGACATAATGGATATCGCAGATCTTTCGTCCGTTTCCTAGTGTGACCGTGAGTGGGATCGGCTCATCTTCTCCAAGGGTTTTCGACTCTCCGTCATGCGGCAACTCAAAGGACTCAGTATCAGGTACTTGAACGGCATTTTCTGGTAAAAGACTTCCGGGAAGGTCATAATCACCCCCTCGGGATGTCTGCCATATTTTGTTGGCAATTGGGCCGATGTCTTTTGCTATATCAAGTGACGATACACCGGCACCCAAGATAAGAACATTCTGTCGTATATTAGTCGACTGAAGTGGTACAAGTGGTATGTACGTACCTTGCCCTTAAACTTGTCCGGGTATCTGTACGATTTTGAGTGAAAGACTCTCTCTGGCCAATTCTCTTTCCATTGCTTCAACCCAGGTTTGTCGGGGATTCTTGGTGCGTGATAGTGCCCAGATGCGACGACAACTGCGTCAAAGATATTATTTTCTCGAATCAATGGACCACCCTTCGAGTGTTGTGTTTCACTGGTAATGCTCCATTGGCCTTCTGCCTTTTGCAAGTTAACAACCCGAGTATTGTACCGAGTGAACTCGTGTACTCCAGTTGTTTTGGAAATGCTCTGGATGTATTCCTTCAGCACACTGTGTTTTACGATAGGAGGCGTCCCTTTGGGCCAAGGAAGTAATGACGTCTCAAGGAGTCCTGTTGCGACATTGTTCATAAGACTCGAATAAGCTGGACTGATTTCATATGTCAGTATTGGAGCCGAACGACTTCCAGAATCTGTGATTCAGAATGAGACTTCACGAACCCTGGAGGTGCATAGAGCGAGAGATTCCTTTCATCTCGGTTTTGCGTATTTTCCCCTAAAGATGGCTTGACAGACGGATATACCGGCTCAGGGGGCAGCCTCTCATCAAAAAGCCTACTGGCTGTTAGACAAGTCTTGAACTGATGAGAATGGGTGGATTTACCAAACACCTCCTGAATCATGATTTCGTTCATAGACGGTCACAGAAAGACCTTTTCTTTTCAGATGAGCAGCCGCAACCACACCACTTATCCCCGCACCAATCACAGCGACAGATGATATTTGCAAGTAAGACGCCATATAGGAAATGGGGTGTCTAGTAACTCATTTAAATCGATCCTAAACACCAAGGAATACTTCTATCACTCAATGAACGATGCCAGGATTATTAGCTAGGCTTTCGAAGTCAAAAAAAGCTTTTACTCTTTTTACCTCAGGCAACTAGTCACCAGTAGGATATCTGGCCACGGCTGGGTACCCACGCTTTCATCATGAAGCCCCCATATGGTGAAACACTATTGCTTTGAAATCATCGTACCAGAACAACCAAAATCACTACTGATGTGATTGGGAAATACCCCATTACCTTCCCCTTTTCCACGAAGACACATGATTTCGTGGCCTCGGTCGATAGTTACCGGCGTGTGCTGCGTTTGGTGACTGATGTCGCCATTCTACCCCACGTTTGCAACTTAAAGTTTGCGCAACTCTGGATCGATCGATCGACCAACCAGATGCTAAAGAGTAAATACTTTCGAGATAAGGTGTACCTCCTCAATTGATCTGTTGGACGATGTTATCTTCGGTCTAATGCAGCTTGCCTATGGCGCGATCCTAGGAGTGCCGTTGTCCCCGGGTCCGAATAGTCTTGGTATGTACCGTAGAAAGAGGAGCAATACGGCGCGTCACCATATAAGCCACAAGCTCTGGGCATCGATAATAATCAAAATACGAAAATCATCGAATGAAGAGCTAGCTATTACGACTTTACACCTGCCTGGACCTTTTTGAACTATTGTTTCGTCTTGTATATTTTGAGTACAGTCATGGCACCAAGCGCCATTCTCCCGGAGATTAGAGACGTCGCCCAGCCGAAGAAGGACACCCTCCCTCTCCCGGCGTCGGCCCGTGCCAGGCTTGAGAAGGCCGGAATCGATCTCTCAGGGGGGTATCCGTACCGTCCCGCCCGGCCGCTGTACCTTGACGACGCATACAACATTCGCAGTGCAGACCGGCCATTTGTGGACCCCGGCAGCCGAGCCGACAAAGAAAAGAAAGCACTCCTAGGTGCCGCCAAGGAGGTTATCCACTTGACAAGGCACATCGGCACTGAGATCGTCGGCCTGCAGCTGAAGGACTTGACAGACCAGCAGAAAGATGAACTGGCACTTTTGATTGCAGAGCGTAGTGTGGTGTTCTTCCGCGACCAGGACCTAACTCCTCAGCAACAGAAGGCACTAGGTGACTATTATGGTGAGGTGGAGGTGCATGTAAGGCCCCCGTGTCACGAATAGAGGGTAGCTGGCATCCGACTGACGACTTCTCATAGCCACAAGTCCCACAAGTTCCTGGAGTTCTTGGAGTGACCGTCATCTGGCCAGCTCTACAAGCCACTGAACGTGAGGCGAACTTCCGACAGCCCGGCGGCGCCTCACGCTGGCATACCGACCTAGTCCACGAAGCTCAGCCAGCAGGTATCACACATCTGCACAACGATACCGTGCCAACTCTGGGCGGTGATACGCTTTGGGCTAGCGGTTACTCGGCATACGAGAAGCTGAGCCCTGCTTTCCGCAAAATCATCGATGGCAAGACGGCGATATACCGCTCTGCACACACCTACCTCGACCGCAACAACAAGGAGGCCGGACCCAAATATATCGAGAGAGAGCACCCATTGGTCCGAGTCCACCCGGCTACAGGATGGAAGGCCTTGTGGGTGAACCGTGCGATGACATCGCACATTGTCGGCTTTGACCGAGCGGAGAGTGATGCCATCCTCAACTATCTGTATAAGGTCTACGAGGAGAATGTCGATATTCAGGTGCGCTTCAAGTGGACGCCGCGAACCAGCGCACTGTGGGACAATCGGTAAGCTCAGAATCATGAATATATCTTCTATACGACAACTACTAACTAATAGAACCAGTATCACCATTCATAATGCTAGTTGGGATTATGAGGGCAGTGAACCCCGGCATGGAACACGGGTCACGGCCCTTGCAGAGAAGCCGTTCTTCAAGGCTGACGCGCCGACAAGGAGACAAGCATTAGGTATCCTCTCAGAGAGTGAGATTTCGGAGTTGAACAAGGCAAGTGCGGAATAGTGGCACATATGCAATTTTTGGAGGGCATTAAGAACAAGTAGACCTGAGTTTCCGACAGGCTCAGGAATGCTTGTACCAACAACTATCTCCTAATAAATAAAAGGCTATTGCAACATCGGTCTTTCAGCGTCCCTCACCATATTCGCCCGAGAGCCCTACTGTTTTAGAACAGGTGCTCTAGCTTTCCAATTTACTCAGGAGTGATCATGTGGTTGGTCGGCATTCTGGTCTGTCACAGGATCCCTGGCGCTTGTGCATAAAAGTTCCCAGCCATTATTACAGGTGCTCAGATTCTGGACCTGGCCATGACTCCACATTGGCTGGGCGGCTTGGCTACTCGTAAAGGCCACGCAAAGGGTCTTTTAGACGCGACCGACGAGGCTTCACCTGAGTATTAAACGCAAGGCATATCTTCGTGGAATGCTTAGAATCATTTGCTTTTTCCTGTCATGGGGATAATATAAGTTCGTCTCTATTCACTGCTTCAGTCACTACTCATATAAGGCTTTTGTTTCCATAGTTCAAGCTGCAATACTTTTGTGGATTCTCGACCTAGTGATCTGCTCATCATCAAGAAGCATGGCTGACACTGCTTCCCTCCAGAGAAACCATACCGATTACTGGAGGCTGTCAAATTTAACATCACATGATCAGACGCAACTCACTGATAATAGTTATCCAGTATCTATGCGTCCACTACATGATCACGACGATAACCAGGAGCTGGCATCCCAGAGAAGCGGTGCTCTCGTACGGCCCTGTGAATCTCATTGGCAGGTTGTGGCACCATTTATACATGACCTCTATATGCAGCAAAACCTTAGCCTCCACGAAGTCATGGAGATAATGACTTCCAAGTATCAATTTCGCGCAACGTATGTACTCGGCCCCAGTACTGCACCTAACTCTCTTGTATCTACTCACACGAACACAGGGAAAAGATGTATAAGTCACGATTCCGGAAGTGGCAGTGGAACAAGTACTCGTCTCAGCGAAGCAAACAATCCAAGGCCACCGTCAGGTCGCCGGTGCTCAATAGATCATGCATCAGAAAAAGAGGTGCAAAGTCTGGTCAGACCCTCACCCCAAGGGTTTTGAGAAGCTATCATCACATCAACGACACTTCAAGGCTGAGCGAATTGGTCATGATGAATATCCGTGCTTTCAATCTTCATCCTGTCAAAACCAACAAGACTGTATTGGTAGGTCATGCCGGGCGTGGAGATAAAGCAGTTCCATCCTTTCTGCAGGCTCTACGCCTCTTAGAAGATCCCGCCACAATTCCCTTTGGAGGAAAGCAGCTACAGTTGGCATTTATCCATGCAGAAGCCGGGTTGCTGAAAATGGACAATGCATCATTAATTGAAGCATTGCTTCTGATACCGTGGATCCTCCTACAAAGAGGGCACATGTCAATCCTGAAAATGTACATGAGGCAACTTGATGCTCGAATCGGTCTCAAGTCAGATGCAGATCACGCAAGAGGCATAGTAGCTTGTCTGAGAGACCTTCTGGCTTCTGATTCGGGCGCGTTCTGTCATTGGATTCCAAGACTGGCGACAGTCTGGGCAAAAGAATGGAATAAGGTGTTGGATGAGTGCGGCCCTATGGAGATAACTATAGAAGACATCGTCCTCAGCTCGTCACCTGTGAAGCCTTGGAGACCCCATATCCAGCGAGACATAAAATGGGTCGCAGTTATTTGCGGGATCCAGCGGTATCGTGGTAGATTCTGTCTCAAAGTGAAGGCCCATACTAAAAGAAATCAATAGATTGTCATATGTGGAATTAAAAGTTTTCATGATTCGCTCTTTCAAGCTACTTGCACCAGTGACTTGTCTGATGTTCTAGGCCGACCACGTGTGATATAGCTTTTCCATGCCTCAGGAATTCAGAACTTACAATGGTGTCTTTAAAATAAGCCAAGCAAATCCTCCCCGTCACTCTTCTTCTCCGGCGGGTGACCCAGTTGCACTCCAGGGGGTGGCGGCGCACTCGTTCCACTGAGATCCATTCCTGCAAATCCGTTCAAAATATCATTCATGCCACCACCGTTATTCGGTGGAGGCGGCGACGATGTAGAGCCCATGTCAAACAGACCCATCATATCCGCCATACCGCCACTGGCCGCACCACCCGCCTGGCTCGGGCTCGCCACCCGGTCCGGTGTACCTGTACCCGTGGGATTCTGCTCAGCAGACGCCGGTGCCGCGCCGTCAAAGTCGATATCGAGCAGGTTCTCAATGTTGCTTTGAGATGCCCCGCCATTTGCACCGTTGGCAGCCGCAGCAGCGACGGATGCCGCGATGGGGTTCTCGGCGGCGTTTTGCCGTTGCTCTTGGATGGCAGCACGTTGGATCTCGTCAGCGCCGAAACGGCCCTTGCCCACAAAAGACTCGGGTGGTTTGTGGTAGACGGATGCTAGCGTCGAGAGCTCGGTGAGTAGTTGCTCTAGCAGGGCTGGTGGTAAGCTGGTCATTGTTGTGGAAATGGCTGGTTTTTGAGAGAGGATGATGTTCTGCGACATATTAGTGACATGCCGTGTAAGGGGGGCGGTGAACCACTACGTACCTTTGCGACATCAAGATCGCCGGATAAGAGACGCCAATAGACATAGGCACGGTCTCTGATATCTGGGTTATCGTTGTCTGCTGTCGCCTGTTGCAACACCTTCTGAACCAAGCCTTGAGTGTTGCTCGGTTTTTTCAAGAACAATTTGACGACTGCAGTGAGGATCTGAAGTTGTGTCTGGAATGAAGTCAGCTCCGGCTCCCATGACATTATCCTGAGAGCTTACCTGTGTGAACTCTTCCATGAATCCATCGACGAAACTTTCTAAAATCTCGTCTGCGTTGTTGATCTTCTCCGCATACTCTCCCACGATCCAGATCAGGGATCCCCTCGCACTGGGCTCATCCAACTCGTCAATGTACTTGCACAGAGTTGGGATGACACCCTCATATCCGGGGTATTTTCTGAGAATATCCTTGATGACAACAATGACCTCCTGCACGACGTAGTTGACCTTGGTGGAAATCAGATCCAGCAGCGCGTTGACGCACTTCTCGCTTGCGCTCTCGATCTTGATGGCGACCTGGCCAATCGCCTTAACAGCCCGTCGCACGAAGTCCATATCCACCTCCAGAGCATATTCTTTCAACTCTGCCAGGAGCTGGTCAAAGTTCTTGTCGTTTGCTATCCGCACCATGATTTCGAGCTTTTGAAGCTTGAGGTATGGTGGATCGTTGTACTTGCAGAAGAACACTCTCATCTCTTTGCTGAGAATATCGGGTTTTGCTTGTAAGAGGAGGTCGATATTTCTTAGAGCGACATATTGAACTTCTGGGGCAGAAGCAACCAGGGTGACTAGATGGGTTAGCATTGGCTGGGGAGCTTGCAGCAAAGCTACTCACCTAGAGGAGGAGCCATCTTCTTAAGATACTGCCTAACTGTGTCTGGGTTGTTTATGACCTTCATATGGATGAACACGACCTTAACAGCTGCCAAGACGACGCTTGGGTTAACGTGCTGGAACTGAGGAGCTACTCGCTCGCAGATATGCTCTGACTCCTTCACGTCGACGGGAGGATACTCGGCAAGTGTTGAAAGGATCGTCACTCTTCCCCACTCTGTGCACTCGTTCAACGCCATCAGCAGCTTCTTCAGTGTAGTGGGCGTTATGATTAACGCCTTCGTCTCGGGAGCGGTCTCGTTGATCTCTGACAATGCCTGCACCGAGTTTGCGACAACCATCGGATTCGGGTCTCCGATCAGCTCCTGCAGCGTCTCCAGGAATCCGTTCTCAATGCACATGGTCGGGTTTAGGTCGAAGAGCTTCGCTACGCAGATGGCTGCCGTCTTTCGTACGTAAGGCGATTCGTCTCTCAGTGTTTTCCGTAACGGTTCTTCCATATAGTCCACCATCTTGTCTACTCTGATACATCCCATTGTCCGTATAGCTAATGCTCTTATGAGGGGGTTTGGATCTTCTGAGTCTTGGACGAAGGTGTTGACGGCGAGAATACATAAGTCGGGGTGAGATTTGGCGTAGTTCCTGAAGGGTCAAGTCAGCAGCTGCTCCGATAAACGTATCCAAAGCTTGACGGTCCGCGACTTTATATGGCGACTACTCACATTAGATAGAGGTACACAAGCTTCTTCTGATCCAGGTCGCCCGTAGCAATGTTCTTGAGGACGTCAGGGAACAGCGCAGACACATCCTTGCCGAGCGTCATGGCCATGATGGTCTTTTGAATCGCCTCCTTTCGCTCATAGGCATACTGCGACACCAGCCCAGCCCGCAGCTCGAATGTCTCACCCTTTCGAGGCGCGGCGAATGCGCCGCGTATCCTGTTGACCGCCATCTTGTGGGATAAGGAGTCGGGAGAGGCTGGAGGGGTAGTCTAGGGTAACTTTAGGTAGGGAGCGCGGCGGTGGAGATGTCGTGGGAAGACGAAGGAGGACAGGCAGTCCGCAGCGGATTAAGGTGACTGCATCCGATCTTATGGCGGCTTAGATTTTGTTCGATGATGTTTCTAGAGCTGATTGTCCGTGGTAGAGGGGCAATTCGCAGGTGTCGATGTGGCCAAGAGATGATGATGGCTGGCCAGTCGTCCGCCGCAGCTGCAGTGGTAGTGGGAAGCGTAGCGTAGCCCCATCCCCTACCTAAGCTAAATTTCCGCCTGATTGCTCGTGGTGCCACTAGCCAAACTCACAAATCGCCCGCGCGAGTTTCAAGAGGCAGTGGGGCTGATTAGTCACGAGATTATCTACGCCTTCAGCTCTGTGTAAAGACAGCTTGGAGCTTGATCGCTCAGCACTCTCTTTCACTCTCACAAACTTCTCATGGACGAAACGGATCTACAACTTAGTGTCAGAAGAGTCGTCTAGGATGACTTGATCTAAGTATATTCTTCCTACAAAATTGTTTGAGCGACCAGCAAGCAAAGCTCCGTTCAAGCTCACAACTGCAAGTGAGAGAATGGTGAGGACGACACTCTCATATCCGCAAACACTGGACTAATATCACATCAGGCGAACCTCCCAAACCTCCGCAGACTCTTCATCGAAGCACGTAGTGACGATGAGGAAAGAGCAGTCTCAAGGAAGGCAGTGAGTCATCTGCCCACACATCTCATGCCCACAGACTGATGTTTCAGTTTTATAATGTTGTGCTCTTCATGGGTTCCGTTGCGGTGTTCAGTCTGATAGCGCAGAGAATGAATGCAGCAAAATGATACAGTCGGACTTGTACATTAGTTGTACTACTACACACAGATTTACATGGAGCGAAAATTAATGTATGCCTTCCTGGCCAGAACTGCAAAGCTTGACAGACCCCTAGTCAGAGTCGCTTTCGTCGTCGTCGCCCAAAAACGCTAAATCTGCTCTCGCCCTGCCCTTCGACCGAGCAAACGGCTGTGCATCGGCATCACTCTCATCCTCGTCGCTGTCTTTGTGGCCGTTCTCGGCCTCTTTGCCCTCCACCTCATCCTCGTCATCACTAAGTTCCTTGAACGATTTCGGGGCTCGACTACGAGATGCTCTCCCGCTCCCAGCACCCCAGTTCCGGTCCATCTCCTTCACGGCCTCGAGATCAGCCTCGAGCTCCCTACGCTCTTTGATCTCTCGAGCTCTTGCATCGGAGAAACGGCCGTCCATGCCGATGTCTTTCAGCATGTCTTTGAGATGGCGGATCTTGGCCTTGACATCGTCTCCATACTGCTTGAGTTCAATGCCCCAGATTTTCCTGACGCCGCACTTAACTAGCTGGCCTTGAAGCTTCTTGACTTCAGCTTCATCCGGTGATACATCCGCAGATGACTTGGTCGCAGCAGCCTTCGCCTTGGGCGCACGTTTGGTTGCCGGCTCTTTCGACTTTCGCTTGCGCTTCGGCGGCTCTTCATCAATCACCTCGGACATTTCACTCTCACTGTCTGCTGCCGTCGCCTCTGCTTCATCCTCCTCACTGTCTTGGAGATCACTCAACGATGACTCTTCATCGGAGTCAACCTTCTTCTTCTTTTTCGCAGGCGCAGGCTTTGCTTTCGGTTTCGGCTTGGGCTTAGGCTTGGGCTTTGGCTTTTCAACTGTGATAGAGTCCTCCGGCTCGTCGTCCCCGTCACTATCTTTGGCGACTGCCTTCTTGGGCGCGCTCTTGCGCTTAGGAGGAGCCTCGTCGTCCGAGTCGGCGGCCTTGCTCCTGCGGTTGCGCTGCACCAGGTTCTTCTTCTTCTTCCTGGGAGCATCCTCCTCTTCCTCCTCGCTGAGCTCGCTCAACTCAGACTCGGCCGGCGACTCGGACTTGCGTCTCTTCTTGACGGGCGGTTTCTCCTGCTCCTGCTCCTGCTCCTCCTTCTCTGAGGCCGCAGCGCGCTTCACGCCATTGTTCTTAGCAGGGGCGGCGGCGGCCGGCGCGGCCGGTTGAGAGGACTTGGGCGGCGCATCAGCCTGTTCGGACGCGAGCATCTGATCCTAAACCAGACAAACGCTCTAAAATTAGCATTGTTGAAAGATGTCAACAGCCCTCCCAAGAGGGTCGCGCAAGAACTCAAGTGTAAAAGATGTAAAGGCGCGCGCACGTACCACCGCATCCTTGATGACCGACTTGCTCTTGGCCTTCCACTCCGCGCCGGCGAAGAAGCCCTCCTCCAGCCCGAACCTGTCCTCGACGCGCCGCCGCACCGTGTTGACCGACAGCTGCTCGCGGTCGGGCCCGCTGAAGAGCTCGCGGACGGCGGCCACGAGCCCGTCCTCGAGGGCCTGCGGGTTCGGCGCCATTGATGATGGGGGGGCCGGGGCCGGGGGCGGGGGAACACTACGGGGCGCGAGTCCGAAATGTGAAAGACAGAGCCCGAAAAGAACAAAGGATCGGGTGAACAGAGGACAATGCAATTGTCTGATGTGCTGGGTAGGGGCAGACAGGCACTGGCGCATCTAGGTCTGTGTAGATGGGCTCTCGTCGCGTGTGTGTGTGCTGGCTGCTTTGCGACGCGAAGTGCCGTGCCTGCGGTGGCAGGATCGCTGAATGCGGGCGCAGGATCCTGGTTGGGATCAGCAGACCAGATGGTCCGTGCGCGATGCGAGGGGTGGTGGTGCATTAGGAGGACAGACGCCCCTATCTAGGCTGTCGCTGATGTATTAGTTCACTATTTAATCTATATAAATGTATAAGTCAAGTGAAATTTTTGTAGAACGTTGAGAAGTCTTAGAGGATAGTCTCTGGGACTTCATATTTGACTTTGTTAGTCACGACCACCTAGAATAAGAGGATCATGTTTGCAGCATGGATGCTTCACAATATAACAAATGACTCGTCATCACAGAAGTCACAACAGCCCATGACAACAGATAATATTTCAGGGTTTTCACATTGTGGTGCTCAAGCCTCATAAGTAAGGAGAGAGCTACATACAAGTTCCCACAAGAGCTAGCTTCGTCGGAGCAAACCACCCCTGAACTTTTCCTCCTTGAGCGCGTGGCATCACGGAGGCACCCCCCTGGTGGCTCCAACCATAAACCCTTTCTAGAAAGAAACAAAAACAGAGAAAACAAATCAAGGTCATCTTGCCGGAAAAACGCCATTTGCCTTTCTGCCAGTTGAAATTCAAACCAAGCCGCAAACGCGTTTTCTGGTTGAACTGGGTCTGTATGCGCAATCATGCAATTTTCGCCTCTCAAAAACGCCTGCCTCAGGAAAACGCCCCATCATGATCCCGTCTGTGTTGTGGTTGCCAGGTAGGCCTTCTCTGGCCAGATAGAATCGCATCATAAGGCAACAATGGTGGTACAGTTTATCATGTAAAAAGTGTAGTCGATACTTATGTCGACTCAGTAATCGATATTTATCGGTCGACAACCATCCCAGCAGCAAATGATGATGGGCTCGAGCCACCCTGGAGGAGACTGTAACTGCTGCCGTTTTTGCCGGACATTGAGGCGAGCTTCTCACGCTCAGCCTTTTCGCTGGCCATCTGCGCCTTCTCAAGCTTGGTGATGCGCGGCTTTCTGGCGACGGATCCTCCTCGCGAGCCCGGTCCGCCTCCACGACGCTTGACAACTGGTTCGCCTCCCTCGCCAGTGGCAGCGGCAGCAGATGCATCGCGGGACAGTCCACCTCTGCCTCCACGGCTTCCACGTCCTCGGCCTCCACGACCACGCTTAGGAGGGCCATCATGACTGCCAGATGTTAGCAAATAGTGAATATCATGTAACAAGGAAACGGATTGAGCATACCCAGTGGTCGGTTTCTCCACCTCAGGCACCAATGGGCCACTGTACACGAAGAAACCATCCCTACTCGCTGCAGCCTGCTCCTCCCAGAGCATCTCAGAGTCGTCAACAAAGTCATCGTCCTTGTCATACTCATCCTCCTTGAAATTCCGCTTCTTACGCGCAGGCTTAGCAGGGGCGCCGTCCGGACCACTAGTCCCGCCGTTGCCCATGCCGCCCATCTCGACGTTGCTGCCTTCGCCGTCTGATTGGAGATCCACGGACATTTCGTCGCCCGACTCTCTACCAGAGCCTTGCTTCTCAAGAGCCGCTGAAGCCGCGGCAATTCGCGCCTTGCGCTCCCGGTGTGCAGCCAATCGGGGGTGCAGTGCGTCCCAGCCATACTGCTCTTCAGCCAGTCGCATGAAGTTGACGTACTTATTAGTTTCGCCATTCAGAGGAATGTGTAGTACAATAGAAGGCGTGCTTGATTCATCGCCCGGTTTGACTTTGCCGAAGTCCAGTATGGATCGCTCTGACCCCGGTGCCACGAGGTCAGGCACGTCTGACAAGCCGCTCTTGAGGCCGTTCATCTTGGGTGAAGAAGATGCCGAGCTGGCCTTCTTCTCCTTTCGGTCTTGTTGTTGCATGGATGTGACCTTCTTGCTTGGGGCAGAAGAGGCCACTTGGGGGTTGGCCAAGCCCGAGAGGGTGGGATTGCTAGGCTTCAGAGGCTCTGCAATCTTTGCAACAGAAGGCACACTGGGAGCAGCTGCTGGTTTCTTAGCTTCTGGCGAAGGTTTTGACGCAGGCGCAGCTGGTGGTGCGCTGCGGACTGCGTTTGATGGAGATGGCGGCAAAGAACCGGATTCATGGAATCGTGATTGGTTTGAATTGTGGAAAGTCTGGTGAGAAGAGGGAGGGGAAACCATATTGGATGGGACGGGGTCTACCAGACTTGAGATAGACGGTGATGCGCTTGCGCGATTGGTCATTTGGGTGGGGCCACGCGGTGAGCCCAAACCCGCGGTACCATATGGATCTCGAGTGAGCATCGTCTCTCTAACCGGATCATAGCTGGAAGATCTGACGGGGTCGAAAGCCATGCCGCCGGGGCGGACAGGTGCAACGGGGGGCGGGGGTGGTGATGGGTCTCGGTTCAGCAAGCTCCTCATGGACTCGGGAATAGCCTCCCGCTTCACCACCTTTTGCGTGAGAGGTTCCTGGGTGGCAGCTGAAGGAGATCGCGAATCCACGTCCATACGCATTGATGCGAGTTCTGTGATCTTGGGCTGTCTGGCCGGTGCACTGCCGGATGCGGACCTTTGATCCGCATCTGCTGCGGGTGCATCTGTTGCGGGTGCATCTGTTGCGGGTGCATCTGTTGCGGGTGCATCTGTGGCAGGAGGGTTCTTCCTCTTGCGTTGAATAGGCGGCGCGTTTGGATCCCTTGGTTTGCGGGGCTTTCGCGTCTTGGGTTCGGTGCTTCCATCTGCTGCGATCTTGGGCTTGACAACAGAGCCGGGCTTGCGGCCAGGCTTCTTTCGAGGAAGACCAGCTGCAGTTAATTGCACCTCGGGCTGGGGGCGTGGGGGCTGCATTACGCCGAATCTGGGTCCTGAAGCTGTGTCGACGACTATCTCGTCCATTTCAATGTTTGCACGCCCCTGTTGCAGACGTGACGGCGAGCCTGGGTCTGAGATGGAACCAGACGGTGGGGACGACAATGATGTAGGAGATGAGCTGTAATTGCGCATTTCAACATCGCCTCCCCCTCTATTACCAGACGCCATTGAGCGGTCCTCCGCGCCAGACAGGTGTCGTTGGAATTAGGTGCACGTGGCGGTTGTTGAAAGAAAACTTAATCCCAACCTCTAAACCCCAGGGCTTCTTGGAAGACAAAAGGAGACTTTTCTAACAATAGACACAAAATTGCATTCATTAGAGTCGCAAATGGAATTTGCTCTGCAACAACTCCTCGGTGTGTCTTCGTGGGGGGCTGCAATCAATTTGGCGATGATTGAATTGGCAGCCAATTGGCAGCGAGTTGGGGCTGCTGCCAGCAAGGCGAGGTAAGGCCCGATGCAAATGGTTGGTGGTGTAACGTGACTCGAGGAGGAGCTGGGCCTAGCTGGGCTGGGCTTGGCTAAGCAGAGTTGGTGTCTGTGAATAACCTCAGAGAAAGACCCAACGTGTTCCGTCTTTGGTGCAGCGGAAGCTGACAGTCGGGAAAACGGGGGTGAAACGGGGCGGAGTGCACGTTCAAGTAGTACGAATCAATTCAATAGACTTTGCTGAATACGATGGTCGACTTTTTAGACGGTGATCGATGGGCGCGCGGGTGTTGGTGGATGGAAATGGCATCAACACCATGAAATGGCTGGCGGGACGTTGGGTGAGAGAAGTGGGAGAAGGAGAGGAAATTTTGGAGTGCGAGGTGGGAATGCGGCGAGATTGGGGATGGCTACGCTACCAGGGAACATTTATTTTTTTTGGGACATTTGAATGGGATGGGAAAATCGGGGCCACGACCACCCTCGGGGATAGAGACAGACGAATTTTATTATTAAAAAGGCGAATTAAAACACCAAGCTAGACCAGCATGGCGGTGGGAGATGGGAAATGGGGAGAGAACGGGCTCGGCTGGGCTGGGCTTGGGGGGGGCGTGTGCGGTGCGAGAAGGAGGGAAAGGGAAAGGGAATAGGGAATGGGAATGGGAATGGAGGAGCATCGGATCAGTCACTTCACATTCACCTCACCTCACCTCACTTGACAAATGGTCCGTGGAGGGAGTCAGGGAGTCATGGAGTCAAGGAGTCAAGGCATCCGCGACGTGGAACCGACCGCCGGCGATGGGGGCAAGAGAAAGGGAATGGATGGCATGGGATGGCATGGGATGGAACCCAAAACCGCCGAAAGAGGGAATGCGAGGGATGGACAAGTCGGAATCAACAGCTCACCACTCCCAGTCGATACGAACATGGGGCATGGGGCATGGCTGGATGGGCATGGGAACATCGGGAGTCGAATGGGAGATGATGGGCGATGGGAGACGGGCGACGGATGCGAATGGGCACAGACAAAGACCAAACCACCAAAGGGGGAAAACGGAGATGGCAGAAACGCCCAGCCCAGGGTCAGCAGGAGGAACTCAACTGGGGCACCACCACTCCCAGTCCAGTCCAGTCCAGGTGATGGTAATGGTGATGGTGATGGGAATGGCTCGGCTCATGGATGTGAGGAAGAACCTCAAGCAGATGCTTAGACGGCAATCTCGCAAACCACGACCCACAACCCACAACCCACGACTGAAAGCAATGCGCGCGCGCGCGATCGGTCTGGGCAGAAGGCGCCGATGTGCAGTGCTGTGCGCCCAGAAACCACATGGGATGAATGATGATGAGTGAGTGTGAACCGGAAAGAGGCAAGTCATCCATCATCAGCCTCCTTCTCTCTCTGTGTCCCACAGCCGACGGCACGCCATAGGGAAGCTTCCCCTGCCTGCCACCGCACAGGCTGCAGAGTGCTAGGCCATGTAGCTAGGCAGGTAGGTAGGTAGGTACCTACCTAAAGAGAACTGGAGAAACACTAGGTACTCCAAAACACCACATGACGGATGGAGAGAGGATCCAGGATCCAATGAATGCGTTGCGCTTCAGGTTGCCGACAAATGCGTGGTGGTGATGATGGTGGTGGTGCGTGCGGCGCGATCCCAGGAAAAGCCGCCGGGGCGTACCTTGGTAGTCGCTGTGTCACTCGCGGGGAAAGGCCAAGTCCATGGAAGGTGAAGAGAGAAGAGAGAGGCGGCTGTTGCAGAGCCCCCCCCTGTCAGGTACCTCCCTCTTCGTACTACGTAACTCGCCGACCGGCAGGGTGGGTCCGTTTAGGCGACAGAAGCGCCCGGGATGCGAAGCGCTGCAAGGTTTCCAAAAAAGTGGGTGGCCCCAGCTTTTCTCTTTGGGGGAGACATTTCGTCCCGCCGCCCAGCCGGTTGTGGTTGTGACAGGGCCACATCACACATGGCTTTCCACGATAACCCAGGCGGATGCAGCTGTCGCGTCAAAAAATTTTGAGACAAGAAAAAGATGATCATTATACTGCAGAGACTCAAAATATGCAAGATCGGCTTGTTGCTCACCTCCTCGTGGTCTCCCATCGCGATGTTACCTGCTACTCTGCTAGGGGTGGATGTATTAAATAAGTGGCTGCGGCATGACTGTATGGCAGTGTAACAACGTGTTTCTGCAGGCTGCAACCATTCAATCTTGTCAACCTTATGTAGGGCATCCAAGGGCGACTTCGCGGTAGGAACGATGCTTGTCATAGCACCTTCGTCAGCATTTCAATCAAGGACAGAGCCGCCGCCGCGTCAGCATCTCACGCACATGATGCTTATCGATATGTAATTAAATCTCCGAGAACAACCAGCCATCCAGCAAGAGGAACATTTGCCCAAGGCAGCAACAGATACGAACAGCATCGGACAACAAGAATGAGCGGCACAATCTCTGGTTTCAGCGGCCTCACGTTTCATCAAATCGAAACAAGAGTTGGCGCATGTCTCAGGCCATTGGTCCAACGCCGGGCGGTATCTCTGAAGGCGGGATCGGCGCTAATGCGGGCAGGTTTTGGTGTGGCTTCCTCCCGTTGGGCATTTCTATTTCAACCAACCGAACCTTTCCTTGGAAGAAGGAGACAAGCCACAACCTTAAACCCAAAATGACACTGGGGCTGGGAGCACGTAGGTGTGTGGCTTGATCTTTTGCACCCCCCAAATTTTTCAGCAGTAAACCTGCCCCCACCACTACTATTATGACATAGACCTCCAAGCTGCAGCCTTGCAGTGCCCGCATGCAAACAACGGGTTTACAGATCGAGCGCCCACTGACATAATTGACACAAGGGCTGCTCACAAGCAGTGCGACTGCGATCAAAATGGATCCCACCTTAATGATCCATGATGTCAAAGAGAAACAAGTCGGCGCCGTCAAACCTCCCACCTTCCCACAGCCCAAGTCCGCCACCACCGGCTTCCCCGAACACAAGAAGCGGACAAGAGTCTCTGCATTCAAGCAGAAACGAGACGCCCAAAACTCCACCAGCGATGTGCCGACCGTCTTGATCGATCGTCCTCAGCCGTCTGGCCTGTCTACAAGAAATGTCCCAGCCGCCAAATCTGAGGGGGAAGAGCGGGAAAGGATAGATCGCGAGAACAGACAGGTGCTAGCGGCCATGTCTCCAGAACAAATTGCAGAAGCGCGTAAAGAAGTATTCGAAGGGCTAGATCCGTCTCTGTTGCAGATGCTTCTCAAAAGAGCCAACCTCGACGAGTCAAACGGCCCATCTCCTTTCGACCTGCCCACATCGAGCAGCTCGACCCCAGCAGTACAAGATGACCTACCGAGCGTTGGGGCAGAAAACGTCAAAGAAACATCAAGCAGCGCTGGTGAAGACACTCAAACGGAGACTGAGCCGCAGGTCAAAACGGAGCAGAAGCCAAAGACAGCCAAGAAAGTCACGTTCGACGAAGATGCCGCCCCGCCCGAACCGCCCTCAAACCTCTTCTCTCCCTCCGAACCGCCACCAGCCGACATAGACACCACGACGACCAACACGACACACTTCCCCCAGCCCAAGCAGCTCCCCGACCTCGACCCTTCCGACCCGGACTTCCTCGAGACGCTGCACAAGAAGTTCTTCCCCAGCCTGCCCGCGGACCCGAGCAAGCTCGCCTGGATGGCGCCGATCCCGACGCCCAACTCGGCCGCCGACCGCGAGTCGCCCTACTACCCGGGCCAGGCCGCGCTGCCCGTGTCGGCGCTGCGCTTCGACTTCCGCGGCCGCCTGCTGTCGCCGCGCGCGTCGCGCGCGGTCCCCGTGTCCAAGGGCCTGCACCACCACGGCGAGGCCCCCGAGGCCGCCGGCTACACCGTCCCCGAGCTGGCCCGGCTGGCGCGCAGCGCCGTCCCGTCGCAGCGCTGCGTCGCCTTCCAGGCGCTCGGGCGCATCCTGTACCGCCTGGGCAGTGGCGAGTGGGGCGCCGGCGACAGCGAGCTGGCGATGGGCGTGTGGCGGACGGCCCAGGAGAACCGCGTCGTGGACAGCCTGCTTGAGGCGGCTGACGTGCCTGAGGGAGTCGGCCATCGGGGGAGCAGGGCGTATGCCATCGAAGCTCTCTGGTTGTTCGAGAAGGGCGGCTGGAGAGAGAAGTGGAGGGGCAGGTAGGAGAGAGGTGTCTGTTTTTACGAGGCGATGCATCAAAGGGAGTTCGGGCGCAGACATCTTCAGGCTATGTGGCCAGCATTGGGAATGCCATATCATGGTTGAGCTTCATGGATTTGCGATGCGTAGAGAATGGTTCAAGATACCACAGAATTGAGAACAAGATGTCGGAATTCTGAACTTCGACAGTGGCTCGAGCTCTTTTTTCCCCCCATCTTCCCGGCCATGTTCGAAGTGAAGCTTATACTCCGTATAGCACTCAAGTCTACTTAGTCTAGGGCAACCAAGGGAAGGAAGACACCAAAAGATAACAAGTGCAACGGATGCCTTATAATCCAGTCCTTGCCGCAATTCGCACATGAGCATCTTAGATACTAGGATACACACTTCATTACAGCGAACAAACTGTTGACAGGAAACGAAAATATTTGGATTGATAATCCTAGACTCATCTATATCATGAACGGCATGCTCTCAAGAAGCACCTCCCGCTTCTTCTCTCCCCAAGAAAATTTAAAAGACAACCCGCCCATCTGATATCCTCCATGGAAAAGAACCCAATCCATCAGCAGCGGTCGCCGCCATCGGCAGGTAGGAGCTAAGCCAAGCTGAGCTCATTCATACCTACATGCCCGCCGCTCTGCAAAGTCCTCCAATCCCGCCCAAACAACAAAGAAACAGGAAAGAGAAGGAGCCACGCCGCCGGACCAGCCGAACACAAAACAGCTACCGCCCGCCCAGATTCCCAATTCCCAGCGGAGAAACGCGAGTGCAAGCAAAAAACAAAAGGTTTCCGCCACTTGCATCGTCTCGGTGTCCTAGGCTTCTCCCCAGACTAAATTAAATATATATAAACCCCTGATTGTCATCGCTAGATTTCCTCCGGTGTGAGCAATGTAAGTCGACAATCAGGGAGCGCATGATACAGAGAAGCGCCAATCCCTTATCTGGTAGGATGGATAAAGACCCAGGTGCAAATATGACTGTGCGCCCCTTGGTTCTTCAAAACGATGTTTGCAGGCGTAAAAGTCTTTACAATGACAGATGGGCAACGAGACAGGAAGATCAAGGGGTGTTGGATGCAAGATGTCGCTTGATGGATGATCCGATGACGACCAGACAAGATTATGCCTAGCAGCGTGTTGATCTAGAGGAATGAATCGAGTGTGATTGATGATCGAGGAATGTAAGATGAGGTGGCCTAAAAATGACAGTGGTATCAAGGTCGACGACAAAACTAGCTCCAGAACTCCAGCCGTCCGAGTTTGACCTCGGTTTGTCATGATGGTGATGAATCTCGAAAAGGAAAATCTCCTGGGAGATTACCACCCCTTCTTCCGCGCAAAACGCTTGTTGAGGAGAGCCAAAACCTTTGTGACGTTGAACTGGACGTATTCCAAGTCAAGGTCGTCTTGATTGTCTTTTTGCATCTCGAGTAAGTCATCAAGCTTGAGATCAAGCTCCAAGAGGCCACGGTTCCGTCCTGTCAAGACATTAGCTCAGCTACTCGGTTTTCAAGGTTTCATAGGATATCTGCAGTACTCACCCTTGTAGTGCAGGGAAATAACAAAGGTACCAGGAAGAGGGCTAGTGAAGTTGAAGTAGATATTGGCCCTTCGGTTGTCGGGCACGTTGCTCTTCTGAATGACACCTTCCTTCTCCAGCTGCTGGTGAGTAAACTTGTATGGACCGAGCACCTGTTGCTTCTGCTGTTTACGTCGAGTGCCCTCGCTCTGGCTCCGCACGTTGTGGAGGTAACTCTTGTACGTCTCCAACTGGCCAACCAGATATGTGTTATGGTCTCGGATGGTCTTGTACACTTCCTCGAGCTTCGAGGTCTCTGAAATTACACCCTCCTTCAGAGAGCCGAGATGTTGCAACTCCTGCTCCACTTCATCACGCAACAAGCTGAACTGGTCGGACTTATCAATCACTCTCAGCTCTTGCAGTTGGCTTAACAGCTCCATCGCTCGAATACCTTTGCGGACCATAACCGCATCATTTCGGGATGTGGCTGCTGCATCTGCAATACGCTCCAGACGAAGCGGTCTTCGCGCCACCGACGTGTTCTGCGGGATAGATCGCATGATCTGCACGAAGATAGACTTCGCCTCCATGAAATACACCTCTTCCTGAGTGATATCAAGAGCTGCTGTCAGGTCATCAATTGCAGTCTCCCACCGACTGAAAAGAGGCAAGTTAATAACTCTGTTCTCTTTTCGCGGTACTTGTGCAGGCGAAGGTCCCAGTTCGGACATGATGATGGCGAGATGAGAGTTATCGTCCTTGCAGAGTTCTCCGCCATGTTTGTCAATAAGGGAGTGCATGGCGTAGATTTCATTAAGAGTGATAGAGAGCTCGAGATCCTTCTTCGAGAGAGCGACATAGTTGTCCATCTCCAAGCTCTCATAGAAATCTTGGACCTCACATAGATCAAGCATGAACTTGTTGACACGATCCTTATTCGACTGAATGAAGGGCTGCAGTTTGGCCATATATGGCTCCTTTGCATATGATGGCTTGTTGGCGAGATTTTGCAACATCTTCGCGATCAGCGTCAGGGTTCTCCTCGGCCGCTCTGCAGGGGTGCCGTCGATGAGCATATAGGACTTGGGTGTTACGATTGCGGGGTTGATGAAGCGCAGGAAGAAGAAACCTCCGATGAGGGTGCAGATAGCCTGATCATTGGCGTCCGGGTACTTCCTCTTTGTGAGGCTTCGAATCTGCTTGCAGATCCACCTGATGCCATATGGTGCTTCCTCCAATCCATCAATAATAGTTGTGAGAAACCCATTGGCGATCTCCGTCAGCATCGTCAAGCGAGGCTCAATGATGGCTTGAACCTGGGGGTTCTCTGCTGCCTGCTCCGCGGTGATCCCCTTAGGAAGAGACGCGGGGAGGCTACCAGTATCTTGTTCGATTTGCTCGATCATGCGCTCGTACACCTTCAGGGGGTTGATTTCCAAGTCAAGATCATGAAGCTCGATCAATCCGTTGATCCTATCGGCGAGGACCGACTTCAGAAAACTTTGGCCAGGACCTCTTCTCGTGTATGTGGTCATCATTCGGGATACTGGGGTGTTTGCGCGAAGAAGGGAAGAGTATTCAGGGGTATTGTCAAATTGATAGGTGAGAACAGACTGCAAGCATATTTATTAGCCAATTATCGTTCATGTAAGATGCAACAAGCGTACCTGAAACATGGTCAGCAGGAGATGTTCTTCACGGCTCTCGTACTGGTTTCCATAAATGGTGAACATGACTGTCTGCAACAGCGAGTCAATCTCGGCCATTGATACCAGTCTACACAAGTGCGCGATATGTCTGGGTTCAGACTGAAGTAGAAACAGCAAGTTTCCATATTTTTGGGTTTTGTCGTCGTTAGGGAATACGCCCTCCTGCATTTCGGTGGCATCTTCGAGGTGGCTGGCAACTTCATTTTGCTGAGAATTGGTTAGTAACCCAATCATTTATCAGCTGTAAAGAGACGCACTTCTTCCAGGGCCATGCGATTCTGGATCAATAGGGCAATTCGGGAATCTAGATATCGCACATCCTTTTCGAGGACGAAGTTCTTTTTAGACTGAGAGGAGATTTTCGATTTCAGATCACGTAGTATCTTTTGCGCTGCAAAGCAATCAGCATTCGTATGTCACAGTCTCATTTTCACCAAGACAGCCATACCTTTGGCAAGATCGTCTTCAATCTCCAAATCAGTCTCCTGGGCGGACATGGACATGTACAACGCCGACATGGAGTACCGCTTGGACTGGCGGGCGGACCGCGAGCCATCGTAGGAAGACATGGTGTTCTGTCGAGAGAGAGGTTGGAAAGATGATGAGGAGGCGGTTGAAGCTCGAGAAGGCGTCTGTAACATGACCGACATGTTGAAGAGACCAGATGCAGCGTCGAAGAAGGCAAGGCTACAGCCTAAGACGCTGTCGAGACAGCGTATCGTCGAGTTCGATCGAGTCTAAGGCGCTTGTCTCTTTTGGTAGATGATTACGTTGAGTAGTAAAGCGCTCGGGTCGCGATGGCTGCTTCGAGGCGCCTTGCAGGGTCGATAACACACCACCACCTGCAACAAGGGGATATCGAGGTCTAGTATATACCACGGCGTCGGGACTCGATTGACGGCGGGTCGAATGGCGAATTCGTTTCTTTCAGTCGTCTCAGGTCGCACGACGTGCCTCACTGGTGGTGCGGGTGAGTGAGCGAGCGAGGGGGGAAAAAAGGAAGAAAGGCTGTCGATAAGGGTCTCAAAGGGGTGCCTCGGCGGCAGGAAGTGAAATGTCGGCCAGCGAGCGCCACACAAAGCAAGACACGGCACGAGTGACTGTACCTTTGCGCCGAGGGAGTGGAGGGGGAGCGTGGGATGTACAAGTCGCACAACGGAATTGCGAGACAAGGCGATGCGATTGCGATGCTTTGCGATGCCCCTTTGGTCGTGCTCCGATTGCTCTCTGACTCTGACTCTGACTCTGACGGCCCAACGGACAGAGTGAGGAATGTTGTGGTTTTGGTTTTGGAGGGTGTTGCACGGAGTGGGCGGGCGGGCAGGCGGGAAGACGACGGTGGATAAGGTAGGTTTGGTATAGAACTGAAGTGACAAGACCAACGTATTCTGGGAGGGGAGGGCACTAATGACTACCTAAGGCAAGGCAGGGTAGACTGTAATGTACCTAGGTACCTAGTTAGTGCGGACGTGACTGGGAACACCGTGGGTCTCTTGGCTCTTGGGCGACTGAAGAAGCGTAGCGCAGACCACGACGGATGGGGATGGATGCTGGCAGCCACTTGGGTCAGGATCAGGGAAACCCCAGGAGCAGGGCGAATTTTCTGGTGGTGTCTCAGATTTTGAGAGAAGCGTCTGCGTGAGGGTGAGGGTGAGGGTGAAAAGGGTGAAGGGTGAAGGGTGCGGGCGGCCCCTTGTACTCTGCTTGCTGCACCTGTGCAAGGTCCCTGGCTGTCCCCTGGCCAGTCGACTGTCGATTGTGGACTTCAGCGCAAAAGCCCGAGCTGATAGGGTGTGATGAATTGCAGGTTTGAGCCGCCTTCTCCCTGTGGCCACTCAAGTGGAGCAAAAGGTCGCAGCAATCGGCCAGAGGAGAAACAGAGCACACAATGGACGGAACTGATCAGCTTCGGTGACCGTCTGTTGGTGGACGGGATCTCAACCGTATCGATGGTGATTCGCAAGGTACCTAGGTAGGCTTGATATCGGTGTCGTTGTCTCGAGCGGTGGGTTCGCTGAGGGACAATGAGTGGATGCAGAAGACGGAGGAGAAGAGGAATCCTTGCCGACATAAGCAGCTGTCGGTTGATGGCAGGATGGGAACGGGTGTGATTAATAAGAGGAGAACCGAGCTGTAGACTACCTACTTGATACCAGCAACTGGCTGTCTACGGAGCTGCAGCCACCAAACATGACGGACAAGAGGTGATGGGCATCGCACAGGTAGACGAGTGAGTGGGGGGAGGGGGGAGGATAATTGATTGACCCGTCATAGACTCTAGAGGTCCAGACAGGCCCTTCATGCCATTATCATCATTCATCAAGGAGGGATGGAGGGTAGTATGTCAAGGTTGTGCACTGCATGAGGCATCCCGTGGATGGGTGGATGGGGTGTGTGGGCTTTTCCGGAGCGTAGCTCGTTAGTATCGTCCTATCCCGAAGTTCTAGCTAATGATAGAGGCGGTGGAAAGGCCCAGGATGAGTACCTACTGTAGGTAGTTGCATTATACCCATCCATCTACTTCGCTGATTGACATCACGCTTCTATCATACAGATCATTTTGACAGGACTAACACTGACCACGAGAGATAAAAGAGCATCAAGTCGATGACAGAGCGGCGGCGCGAGCAAAAGTGTTCTTCTCCGTTTCTTGGTCGCGCAATTAGGTGAAGTCAAGTCCAATGAAGTGATGTGAAGCGTACTTGTCAACTTATCTTGGTAGCGGAGGCGGTGTTTACCTTGGTGCCAGGTGTCAAAGAACGGTGAAGCATCTCAGGTACATTTTACTGAGCAAGTCGTTGCTACAATATCCTAAATTACAAATGGCTACCTGCAACTTACCCCATTAGAACTAACGGAGTTCGAAACAGTCGACCTACCTACCTTAATCTACACCTGCAGTGCTTGGAAGGTTCTGCTCTTGCCTACCGTGCCTACCTACCCAGATGCCGTCTGTGCCAAACACAAATACAGAAACAACAGAGAGGCAACACGGAGAGTTGGAAACGATGGAACAAAACGGATCGCCCCAGCGAGCGGTGGAGGCTTGACTCGCTTGAGGCAGGCTACCAGCAAAGAGGCCGTGGTGTTTGAGAATGCTGCAGGGGTCGTTCCTGAGGGAGAGGGGCAACGGTTCCTCACTGGGCAAAGGGCAGCCACCGCCTTTGTGGTGGGACAGCTTGATGGAGGGGTGACCGTCCAGGTTCAAGTCAAGGGGTAACATCGGATTAGGAGCGTTTTAGAAGTGGGGTCGCCCGAATGGAGTGCGCCTGGGCGTACGAGCGACCGGACAAAGCTACGAAAGGGGGGACAGGAGCAGGAGTCGTGATGATGGTGAGCAAGTGCCAGAGGGAGTCTTTCTTTCGCCCCTCTACTCACCCACAATTCGTCTGTGCTAAGTGTGGGCAGAGAGCAATCTGTCTGTCATTCGGCTAACAAACCCGGGCAGACCGAAATCCCCATGGTCAGCGCGGCTCCCTTCATCATCAAGGGTGCTTCTACCGATGACGATGAAGCAAACTCTGCAGACGGGCACATTTCATTAACCTTTGACAGCAAGGCAGATGCCACATGTCTTTGGCTTCTGTTCCTCCGCCCGCAAAACCGCGCGAATCCAGTTTCTGGATCATCACATACCTCTGTTCTAGACTTTCTATGTCTACGGAGAGTTCAAGTTAGCCAACTTGCGTTTCACAAGAATATGATCGCAATGCCAATGCCATCCAGCCGTAGATCGTCTGAAGATTTCATTCCTGTCCCCGGAACGCGGGGAAGCATGGAAGCATGAGAAGATCGGGCACAATGATGACAATTGGAGGCCGACAATCTGAGATCATTAACGCAAATCATCATCGTGGGTACCAAATCGAGTAGATTTTTTGTAAACATCCCAGCATGGCATTGAGTAGCTGAGTTGGGCTTGAGTCTCACGGCTGATTGACGTTTCATGCAGGAAAGGGGCTTGAAATGCACCATGAGTCGCTGACGGGCGCTGGACTTGGGTCTTTTTAGCTTTGAACCTTGCAACGTTCTAACGGCGGGCGCTCCGATGATGATGCAACGTTTGCAATCGGTGCAATACCGTTTTTCTTACAGCAAGCGGCGGGAAATTACTGAACACTGCGTCAATCGATTGATCGTATTCCTTTTAAAGACCTGACGAAGTAAATAGCTATCCCTTGTTCATTTGATGATACGCTACGATAAGTTCCCTGTCCAACCTCTGCTATGTGCCTTGTAGCAGCAAGTAAAAATAGGCCTAAGGTCTGAGGGGAGCATCCATCAGCCCCGCTTTGACATGCGTTGCTGCGGTTCAGACTAACTTAGGCCAGGCACAGGAACAGGAACAGGGCAGCCAGGGGAGAAAACGAGGTCGCGCTAGTCCCCACTGGGTATGCAACCCCACAATTTCCACTCTCAAAGAAGGAACGGCAGGGGAACTAGCTTAATGTTAGTCTCACGTGCCACGCTCCCAGGGCTCGCTACTTCCCTTCTAGTCTGGTCTAGTGTACCTTCCTCCTTCCGTCAGGCCTGGTTACAGGTACATTCACTCCGCCAAGCTTCCGCCTCGAAACTGTCTCGTGCATCAAACATCAACAGCCACAATTCCGAGATTCGGTTTCGACTTCATCCAAACACGCTGACACAGCCTTGGAACCTTGCCTTGGAAATGACAGTACCGTCATGTCGCCATCGAACATTGAGCAATTACCGGTACCATTGCTGTTGCAACGCCGAAATGGAGCTGTCGTGGGATCGAGAAGACATCCTATCATCCGCAAGCTGAGAAGCAGCCAGCAAGCAGGCTCTTGTATAAGCAACAATGACAACATTGTCCCCAGCGCATTTTGCTAGCAGACTCACAGTTGACTGTGGCGCTATCATTGACGCTTCGAACCCCAGATTCGCAAGCCATTCCCCAAATTGGCCCCCTGTATGTTTGGACTGTCCCCGATATAGACCCCCACCACGCACCATGAAGACTCCTTTCCAAGACGCGCATTATCCTATTGCTTTTCCTACGCCTTTGCCACGTTCGGAATGAACGCACGCAAAAGCAATCACACAGAAACGATCCATTGACGCGCCTCCAACAGCATTGATTCGTCTCAATAACAGGGCGTCGCCTCGAACCAAGCCAGGTGGTACTCAAGTAAACTAACTCTATTATTCCCAGCCAGCTAAGCCCATCCGTGATCAAATTGTAAAGCTTATAGATTCCGTCACAACCGCCTAGGATTTTCGACCCAAGTGACCCGCGGTTGCTGGAGGGTTGGCCCCGCCCGTTACCTGCTGAGTGGAATCGGATATACACCTCCGCCGAGGTAATAATTGTTAATTCTGAG